GGAGTGAATACCCATAATATGGGGGATGGTTGAGTAAGGAGTGAGGATGGAGCGGGGGAAAAAGGAATTATGGAGGACGGGGGAGGAATGAGGAATGATGATGAGCAGGAGGCAGATGTGGCGGTCCAAACCGACTGCTACTTGACAATTTCTTGAAGTTCTTGACAGGGGCAATGAAGTATCCGCCACCGTTCCTCTGGTACGGAGTGGAGAGCCCCAAGGCTCAGCTGTGCTGCTGCTGCTGCTGCTGCTGCTGCTGCTGCTGCAGTCAGCATTGTACTTGTTTAAGGGCCCGGACCATCCATTTCCCGGGTGCTCTTGGCGCTCCAGTGGTGTTCCGCATGACCTCGGGGACGGCTGCAACGCCCCAAACGACCCGCCGACTTTCGCGGAGCTCCTCTAGACGGCCCAAGACGGTCAAGGAGCGCCTCTAGACGGCCCAAGATGGCCCCCAGCTGGCCCCAAAGGCTTCCAAGACGCCCCGAGAGGTCTCCAAGAGGCCTCCCAAGAGGCCTCTCAGGAGGGCCCTAAGAGACAAACATCATAGCATGCTTTACTGGTGTTCGAAGATGTTTGGGGTTCTCGCGTGTTCGGCTTCCCGACGCTCCAAGACGGCCCAAAAGGCTCCAAAGATCGCCCCAAGACGGCCCAAGAGGCCCCGAAGACGGCCCAAGAGGGCCTCAAGATGCCGGTCCAAGAGGCCCCCAAACAAACGGACATTTCGAGCCCGCGGCCCCAAGAAGCCCCCAGGAGGCCCCAGGAGGCCCCCAAGAGGCCTCCAGGAGGCCTCCCAAGAGGGCCCAAAGAGGCAAACATCCCAACGAACAACCTAGAGGCCTATGGCCCACAACCCAGGCACGGTGGCGGGATGGACCGAAGGGCATTAAATGTTAGTCTGAGCGGGAGGGGAGGGGAGGGGGGAGAGAAGGGGGCGATGAACAGGAAGGAAAAAACAGGAGGGGCGACAGAAAAAGCAGGCATGAGGAAGGAAAATGGATGGAGTTGAGATGAGCGAGACTAGGGCACGGAGCAAATGAAGGTAGAATGCATGCGAAAGCATTGAGCAGGGAACGCGGGGATGGGAGCAGAGATGATAAATGAGAAGGGAGGATCAACCTAACCACCCTGGTAAGCTAAACCGATCCCCAAACTTCACCACTAGCACGGTCTCCATTGCTGGCCATCGCGTCGTTTTGCCAGCGGCGCGGCCCACAAGGCGTGTGAGGGCTCTGGGGCCCGAGCAGGGCTTCCAGTTGAGACGAGGCCAGGGCGGAGGACAAGATCGGACCAGGATAAGCCGTGGACCTCAGCGATCTGGCGGTCCTGGAGGATGCGTCGGGCGCCGAGACCGTTCTGGAGCGCGCCGGAATGCCCTGAGAGCGTTCCACAAGCGCTGTGGAACGACTTGTCCCGGTACCGGGCCCGTCCTGCCGTGTGCTTACGCCGAAGAAGCGCTGACCGTCCCGATGTTGCTCGCAACGGAAACGCCCGGCCCCTGCACCCAAGCTCGCGCCGGCAAAGCGTTCCAATGCCGATGGCGCGGGCGACTGCGCGACGCCCCCCCCCCAAACTTCGTGCCCGCAAAAGAGAGGGGGCGCAAGGGCCAATCGCGCGGCCGATCGCGCGCCGCACACCCCACCTATCAAAACTGACTCCGGGCCTCTCCTGGGGCGCATTCCGGCCAGGATTTCGAATAGCATCCATCCGCGGCGACGAGGGAGTCACAACAAAAATGGCCAGGAATTTCATCCACCTCGACCTCGCCTTCCTGTTGGCTCCTGTCGGCTCCGAAGCCATCTGTTAGCGTTGGCAAAGCCTGCAAGAAAGCGGTCGAGAACAAACAGTACTGGGGGGCAAAAGGGCATGCAAATTACCTGGCAACTATCTCACCCAGCCAGACGGCTTCAAGGTAACAGTGACCGACCTCCCCACGAAACGCTTCGTACTGGGATCGATCCCGCTCTTCAACATCTTCAAAGATCCCTCTGCGTGGCGGTTCCGCGAACCCTTGTGGAAGTACTGGAAGAGGTAGGGGCGGGCCCGAAAGCTCCCAAAGGCGCCACTACGAACGCACCACGCAACCTCCCCACCCACTTGACACACATATTGTGAGAAGAGCGGCTGGTCCGCGCAACCCTTGGCGGCCCACCGCAGGGGAATGCACTCGCTGCAGCACGAGTCCCCCTAGTTCCCCGCAGCGCAGGCACATATAGGGTAGTGTGGGCACGCGTTCTATAGCATTGTCCTTGGGGTCTGGGACAGGTTCCAGGAAACTTGGCTTGGCCCGCCTGGGCTCTCGCATTTTCGAAACATGGGGGGGGACCTTTCGCAGGTCGCTCATGTTTTTTTTCAATCAGACACGCCGAATGCCAACCAACGGGAACCAAAACTCTAACCTCTTGGGGGGTCCAATGATTATGTGGCTGGGCTTGGGACCCCTTTCGGGCCAGCTCGTCCGCCTTTGAATTGCCCCTCCCACAACTACTTTTCAAAACCTAACGTGCGGACCTGGCTCATGGAGAGGTGGCAGTTACCTTGGGAACCTGGATCCGATCGAAACCTTGGAAATTTCCACCCTGAGCTCAGACAACGAAGCTTTCTCCAAATCCTAAGCTTTTTCCCACGTGGGCGGCCTCGAAATCCGTCGCGACCTCCATCGCGTCGGGTCCCGCCAACCTGAGACCCGTGAGAAACGCAAGCGCCTTTTCCACGCCCCCTGGTTTGCACCGCATGTGGCAACGGCCCGTATGCTGATCCCAAGGCGTGCCCACCGAAAGCAACACACAACGGCCCAGCCAGCTCCAGCGAATTGGGGCAACCCTGGGTCCAAGCCAAACCCATCGACACACGCGAGGAACCCAAGACACCCGCCTGGTGGGACAACCCTCACCTGGCGTCCAACCTGGGTGCATGGGGCAGGCCATCGCCACGCCCAGATCGCATGCAAATTGCCAGCAGTTGAAACGCCGAGAGCCATAACACCGCCCACATCCAAATTGCGGCGAACATCATCATGGGCAGGGCAGCAGTGAACGCGACGACTGGGAGCGTCTAGCTGACCTCCACAAAACTGGCAGTGGATCTGCGACCCTGCGGTCATCGTAGAGGGCGAACTGGGTAGGGTATCGTCCTGCGGCAATCCCCGCGAGTCCTGCAGCGGCGTGTTCTTATCACCGTTCCTGAATGTCTGGCAGACCTGGACAATGGGTTCTGGCACCTCCCATGTTAAGCACAGGAACGTTGGCCCCGTCTCCCACTGGGATTCCAGTGTCGGTCTGTTACTACTGCGCCGATCCGACAGTTTCCCTAATTTCGCCACCGCGCTCGCCGCGGCCATCTGGGGAGGCGCGCGCAGGATGAGACTCGCGGGGCCCGAGGGCGGATGGGGGCGATGTCGCGAGGGCAGAGTCGGCGCGCCGATGGGCAGCCCAGCCCAGCACCCCGCTTGGCCAGAGGGGCCCAGCACAATGCAAGGGCAGAGCCTAACCCCCGCCCGCGGTCGCGGGATCGGGTTCCCCTTCCCGCGGTGCATTGACCCGAAAATGAGCAAACGGCATTGGACCTCCTCGAAAAAAGCTTTCGGGTTCGGTCATGCGACGACCCGAAAAGTTGACTGGCCGACCTGAAAGTGGCCAAATCCCATAGGACTTGTGCCCCAAGAGTGTCGGGTCCAGTTCGGACGACACGAAAATGCGCAAACCGCCTGGGGCTCCTTGCGAAAAAAACAAAAAACATCGTTCTCGACGTCTTCGAACCTGCTCCGAAGAAACCGAACGTGGGCAAACCGCCTAGAATCTCCAATCAAAAACGGTTTCTCTGTGCTTCTGGGCCTCGTCCGAAGGAGCCGCCGGTGGGCAGAGACAGGGCGCGCGCCATGGTGCTCCATCTTCGGCCAAGGCGACGCCAGGGCCTCTACTGGCCCTTCAGATATTTTCTCCGACTCACATGGCCTCGGCACATCGATCTCGACCGCTGCTCGCATTTGAAACTTCCCGGTGGCCCCTCGGACGCCCCGAACCGAGCGCTCCACCGAACGCGCATCCTGGATGGTGACCCCCTTGGCCTCAGCCTGCGCCTGGGTCGGATGCGCAAGGAGCGCGGCGGGGCCTGGGGACTTGCCAGCTACCTCCCGGGGTCTCCAGATGTCCTCAAAAGACCAATCAGCGTGTCAAGCTGCTCCTGCGGCCCGACCGTGAACTCGCCGTTGCCCGCGCTGCTCAATTCAGGATCCAGCCAGTCGGGCCCCGCCAAAACTTGCGCGCCTCGCCGGCGCCCGGGGCGTCGGCATCTTGCGCCCGCTGCCTCCAGCGCCTCCCCCGATGCGCAGATAATTTGCGCTCGTGGGGGCGGGCCGCATTCGCCCGCCTCGTCTCCGCAGACTTGAAGCTGCTCGAACGACTCTTGATGCGCTGAGCTACAGAAAGGGATCCAGGATGGCCAAGTCTCAACTTGCGCCGCCGCTCCGGCCCCCGCTCGACCGCCCTCAAAGCTCCGTGGACTCGCATTCCCCCCAGTGGATGCCCAGTCTCTCGATGCGTCTCAACGAAGCAAACAGCTTCGACGCGCGTAGCCGCGCCCGACTCCACACTGCCTGTGGGATGCTGAACGCTGCCACAAAGGAGGGCACTTCGGCCCCGCCAGGATACCTGGGCTGACCCAGGGCCCCGCGATGGGCGCCCAGCCGCCATTTCCAGCGCCTCAACATACCCGCGATGACAGACGTCGAGCGAAGCGCGATCCCCAACTGATATAACCGATTCAAGGAGGAGGCCATCGTAGTCTGGCGGATCTGGCATGAGCCCCGCTGCGCTGTCGGGCGGGAGCGCCTCGGGGAACGGGGCGCCTTGGCCGGCGCGCCGAGAGGCTCGCCCTTGAACGTGACCGCCGCTGGCCAGTGCAGCTTGGCGGGCGCCTCCCAACTGGTGCGGCGGGAACGAATAATGGCCTCCAGACCTACAGACATCGCAGACTAGTCGGTCGTTCTCCCGACTTTGCGAGGGGGTCTTATGATCTGCTCCCCTGGACGCCCAAACCATTGTATGTTTTGGAATTTCTCCGGAGAAACACTGCAGTCCCCGCCGAAGACGAACGGGGGCCCTCAGGAGTGATGGCTTTCCTCCAGACGACTGAAGATTTGGCTCCCAGCAAGACCAAGCGGGCCCTGGTCACGCGGCAGGCGGCCCCAACGATTAAACCGTCGAGCGCGCAGGCGTTCGCCCGCCTTAGCATCGGTCGGCGCGGGCGCGGCAATGCTGGGTACTAGACGGCGTTGGCCTCGTGCCGACGAAGAACTCCCTGCGCGCGATGGCGCCGCCGCTGGGCAGGGCCCTAGCTTCTGCGATCGCTGGGGGAAGGGCGCTCGCTTGCCAGCCTGACTTCTGGAGATGGGCCTCGCTCAACTCAGCCCGATGGGTCAATCAACAATCGTGGAACATCGCGACGTGAACGGAGGCCCCCCCCCCCTGGGAGATGCGGCGCTGCAGCGGGCCAGGCTGCGGCGCTGCGCGGGGGGGCGGGGCGCGGGCCAAGCCAGCGCCGGGACAAAGGGCCCAGGAGGGCACCCGAGCCCAGGACAGCCCGAATCCCAGCAGGTCGTGCTACCCCCGAGGCTTCTCCCCCCCCATGGTCTGCAGCCCCCGAGGGGGCGGCGGTGCCTCCAGCTCCGCCAGCAACTCCATCCCGCCCTGCTTCCCCGCCGCTACGACTCTCGGCAGCCATGGCTCGCGCGTCAACTCGCTCAGCCGATCCTGCTGCAGCGCCGCCGCTGCCGAGCTCAGGATCAGCGTGCAAAGCGGGCGCAGGAAGTGCTGAATGTCCACGAGCTTCGGCGTGCGCCTGCTGCCTGCCCTCGTTGTTATTCGGCTTCCTCTGGGGTCTGCTGATGTGCTAGGTCTGCTCGCGGTGCAACTTCTCCGCAGTCCCCTCGGCTGTCCCGAAGAGTTTTTGCGCCATCTCCTGGGCTCCTGTGGGAAGCTGCTCCTTGAAGGCTTCGGAGACCTTCTGACCCGGGTCAATCCAGACCCGGGTCAGCAGGAAACCAAAAACTGCAACGCAGGAATAAAAAACTGCAACGCAGGGCTTCGCAGACCCGGGTCAGCCAATAGGCGCGGCCGCCTCGCGGCCACGAGCGGCTCCCTAACCCGGGTCAGCCAGAGTGGGTCTTCGCAGGATCCTGCGCGATCTGGCGCCCTGGCTGACCTCCGTTTGCATTGACCCCCGTCTCGAGGCTCCCGAGGGCTGCCGCCTCCTTTTTCTCCGGGTCCGTAGGCTCGCGAGAGCCAGTGGACCCCGGTGTGTCACTGCAGCCGCCCAGGTCGATGCATGACGTGCACCTTTGCAACAACCTGTCGGGCGAGACATTGGGCCCCTCAGACTCGTTTTGCTTCTCCTTACCCTTGTTGACTTCCGCGTTCATCTGGCACAACAGCTCGCGTTTATCCGTGACAGCTGCCGTGGGCTTGGTCGAACGATTGTCGGCCTCCTCCTCCTGGGCCAGCACGCCTTGACGTAGCCTCTGCAGCTTCTCGACGGCGTTGTTGAGCACTTCTCGATCTGTTCTACATGCTGGTGCCCATGGTGCGCGCGCACCTGCAGCGGTGGCCACTTGGGGGCTTTAGCCTCAGTCAGCTTGAACTCCAATGGTTCTTGGACACCAGCACCGAACCCCCTCTTCCTTCCAAGCGAAATGAACTCTCAATCTCTGTGATGGAGCAATCCTTGTTTCCCTTACCCCACCCTGTGGGTGGCTGGATGCCAACCGAGAGCGGGGAGCAAGGGGCACCGTCGAGAGCGGGCAGCTCCACCTCGTCGTCCACCGAGGCGCTCCAGGCAATATTGCAATGGACACAGCGCCAGTTGTGCCACAGGTTCTTCGCGCAACCGCAGTGGTCGCACTTCCAGTTACTGCTTGGCCCGCGGGAGCCATTCCTCTTCTTCTCATCGCGCGACGAAACACGCTGTTTGTGCTCCCCGTATTCGTCGGCGATGCCCCACGCCACGAAGGTGAGGACACGAATGTGGGAATCGTAATGGAATGTACGGTGATGTAGGATGTGCACGTTTCTGGAAACAGCCTGTCTGTTTGCAGGAAACAATAGAGACACTTGTGGTGGCGCGCCGCGGGGCCCGCCTAGAGCCCTTGCTTTGCGCCAAACCTGCCTGAGCCAAAGTGGCTTGGGCACAGAGGCTACGGACCTTGACCTCCTCCTCCTCATCTTCCTCCTCCTCCTCCTCCTCCTCCTCCTCCCTCCCTCCCTCCCTCCCTCCCTCCCTCCGTCACTCTCCCTCTCTCTCTCCGTCCCCCTCCTCCTTGCCACCTGCCCTCCCTCCCTCTCTCCATCTCCCTCCTCGCCGCAGAAAAAGGTGGGGCCAGCCGCTGTGGCGCGGCCGCTGTCAGGAACGCCCACGGACTAGAGAGCCGAACCCCCCCCGAGCGGGCGATGGGGCCTCGAAGAAGGCGGCGTGGGACGTCTTGGCGAGCAGGGCCAGCAGCAACGCGACCTCGGGGGCGCGCGGGCGGGCGGGAGCGCAGCGGGGCTGCGCAGCGCTCGGTGCCACCGCGCCACCGAAACGGGAACGCTGCACGCGGAGCGAAGGATCGACGATCCTCAGAACGCGTGTTGGCGCCGAGGTGCGTTTGCCCACTGAGGCCCTTCACCACGACGAGGGCAATGTGGTGACCGACTGGTTGGGTGGAGCGGGGTAGACACACACACACACACACACACACACACACACACTGGGCCGACACACGTCCTGAGGATCCTCGAAGGGAGCGCGCCTGGTCACGGCGGGCCCCGGCCGCGTCCGGGCCCTCCGCGGCCCTAGTCTCTCTGAGGAGCGGCCCGAGAAGCAGGGCCCCTCCCGAGCTCCCCCCAAGGGAGTGGTCCCCGCTGCGGCCTCCGGGTCGGCCAGGGGGCCCGTGCCCGTCGAGGGCAGCCGCCTCGGAGCTGCCCAGGGAGCGGGGCCCCTCCAAAAAAGTGGTCCCCACTGCGGCCCCGGGCTCGTGCCTCCCGCGGGGCCGCGAGGCCATCGTCGCGCGCGGAGATCTCGCCCCGAGGAGGAGCGGGAGCAGGGGGAGGGGGAGAGGGGAGCAGGGGAGGAGGAGGGGTGAAGGAGGGAGGGGCGAGCATGGGTCATGGGGGAGGGAGAGGGGCGACAGAGGAAGAGGGGAGCAGGGGGAGGGAGAGGGGCGACAGAGGAAGAGGGGAGCAGGGGGAGGAGAGAGGGATGAAGGGGAAAGAGGGGGGGCAAGGGAGGAACGATGGCTGAAAGAGGAGGAGGGGGGGCAGGGGAGGAGGAAGAGGGAGGAAGAGGCGAGCAGCAGGGGAGGAGGAGGAGGAGGAGGAGGAGGAGGAGGAGGAGGAGGAGGAGGAGGAGGAGGAGGAAGAAAGAGGAAGGGGAGCGGAAGAGGAAGAGGGTCAGCGGGGGGAGCAGGGGAGGAAGCGGGGAGCAAGGGGAGGAAAAAGGGACGGGAGGGGGGAGCATGGGAGGAGGAGGGATGAATGAGGAAGGAGCCGTCCGCCCCGGGCGAAGGGGCGAGGGCGAGGGGAGGGAACTCCTCCCTCCAGCCCGGCCCCCCCTGTCCCGCGACGCCGGGGCATCTGCTGCATCGGCCACGCGGCTGCTTCTGGAGCCCCGCGCGGACTTCTTGGATCGGCGCCGGGCCTTCCTGGCGGCGCCTCCGGCGCCGCCCCTGGCGCGCTCTGGGCGCGCTCTGCGCGCCATGGAGGGGGGTTCAGCGCCGATCCAAGACATCCGCGCGGAGCTCCGACAACTTACGCTTGTGCCGTGCTTGTTCTTCGACCCGTGACCGCATGCTTCAGGCAAAGCTGGGTGGCGGCCTGTGGTTTCCTCGACCTCCGGGGGCCCTCAAGGAACTGCCCGGGAGGCAGAACGCAGGACTCCAGCACGGGGTCGAGAGGCCTGGGGGTCCACGCAATGGAGAAGTCAGGAGGTCGGGTATCTTTGTCTATAATTCTCCGTACCTCCCTCCCTCCCTGCTCCTCCACCTCCTCCCTCTCTTCTTCCTCCCTCTTCCTCCTGCCCTCCTTCTACTCCTCGCTTCCCCTCCTCTTCTCATCCCTCCCTCGTTCCCTTCTCCCTCCCCTTCCTCTCTCCCCTGCCTCGAATTTCCTCCTCTTCCTCTTCTTCCATTGACACTTCTCGCCCCCTCCCCCCGTACCCCCCACTTCGGGGGGCGGAGGCAAGGGAGGAAGGAGAGGAAGCAGGAGGAGGAGGAGGATGAGGAGGAGGAGTGGGGGGACAGAGGCGGACGAGCACGAGAAGGAGGAGGAGGAGGAGGAGGAGAAGGAGAAGGAGAAGGAGGAGGAAGAAAAGGAGCACTGTCAAGCTACTACCAGGTTACTACCAGAAGGAATGCTGCATGATAAGAAGCGGAGCCCCCTTTCTGACCCCGAGAGCGCCTGCCCAAGCCTGCCCAATGGCCCCCGCCCCCTCAAGATGACCCCCGAAAGCCCCCGATGAGCATCCCGAGAGACCCCAACAGGCACCCGGCACCGCGGCAGAGACGACTGCAGCCAGGGGAGCGCAGCTCGTCGCCGACGACCAGCTGCTGCATGCACGCGGGGCCCCGCCGCTGGCAGGTCCGCCCAGGAACGCGACGCTGCGGCTGCTCGTGGCGGCGCCGCGGCTGCGCACGCCGTGCCCGGACGGCACCGCCGCCGCGCTGCGCTGCCAGGCGCCCCTGAGGCCCCGGCCGATCCCAGGGCAAGCAGCAGCGACTCCGAGGGGCGTGGCTGGCAACCCGCACCCTGGGGGGTGGACGAGGGCCTCGACAGCGTTCTCCGCCGCGCCCCGAGGAGGCCCGACGGGGGCAGCGTGGTGGTCGGGGGAAAACAAACCTACCTCGCTTTTGACCACCCTCGCTTCCAAGAGATACCAAACGATGCCAAATTGCGGCCTGTACTGGTCAGGCCGCTTGACGAGGAGGCGCGTGGTATGGCCTGGTTTTGCCTGGAAGCGAAAGCGGGGCAGGTCATTCAAGCCCTGAGGTGGGCAAGCCGGTGCCTCCCGAGCAGCTCGCAGGCCGCACGCCACACGGGTCGCGAGCCGCCCCGCGCGCGCCGGAGCCCGCCGCTCGCCGTTCGCCGCCACTGCCGCCGAGGCCCCAAGGGGGGCGCTGCTCGCGCCCGGTGCGGCCGCCCGGTGCAGCCGCGCGGGGCGGAGGGAGAGGAGCACCGCGAGAGGCGGGCGCCGCAGCCTGCTCGCACGGGGCGATCCTGCGCCGCGCCGGGCTCTGGGGGCCCATCCCAGGCCGATGCGGCTCGAAACCTGCCGCGGGAAGGAGGGGCTCCAGGGTCAGGTCGGGCCTGTCCCCCTACAGGGGGGATTTGGGGCGAAAAATCAAGAGCAGTCACAAAAGCACTCCCAAAGTGGTCAAACATGGTCAAACAATAATCCCCCGACTAGTTTTTGCTAAAGACTGCTTTTGAGCACTCCGAATGTATGGAGGGACACGCCCGACGTAACTCCAGGGCTCTGGCCGTGCTTCTTCGCGATGCCCGGCCTGCTTCGCAGCGCCGGCCCCCAGGGGCACAGTCGGGCCGGGCGAAAGGGGGGGATAGCAAAAGGGGGGGTTGAGAATCAGCTCACGTAGCTGATTTTCCTGGCGCCTCCCGGCGCCGGAGGCGGCTATGTATCGAGGAATCCCAATCCCCACCTTTCGCCCGGCCCGACACAGGGAGCGCAGGCCGCGCGCGAGCGTGCGGCTGCGAGAGCCCGGAGGGCTCCCCGGCGGAACTCGGGCGCGCCCGCGGGCCGTGTGCGGCCCGGGCTCCCGTCGGGGGACCCGCCTGGCTCGCCTGGCCCGTGGCTCGCGCCGTCCTGCGCGGGCACGGGGCTCGGGGAAGCTGGCGAGGCCTGCCCCGGGGGCCAGGGGGGCCTCCGCTGCTGCTGCGCAGCGGCGCGGGGCCTGGGGCCAGGGCGGTCGCAGGGGGGAAGGGGGGGGGGGGGGGGGAGGGGGAGGGGGCGGGAGGTGCGGAAAAAGGGGGGGAGGGGAAGGGAGGCGATGTGGGGATGAGCACAGCCTGGGAGAGGAGGAGTCAGAGGAAAGTAGGGGGAGGATGGGAGAGGAGGAGGAGGAGGAGGAGGAGGAGGAGGAGGAGGAGGAGGAGGAGGAGGAGGAGGAGGAGGAGGTTAAAGGGGGGAGCAGGATAAGGAGCCCGACTTGGAATGATCAGGACGAGGAGGAGAAGGAGGAGGAGGAGGATCAGGAGGAGGAGGAGAACATAGTAAGGCAGGGGAATGAGAGGAGGGAGTGGAGGCAGGGAGGGAGGGGGAGAAGACTTTGTGTCCAGACCCCCTTTTCTCCCCGCGGCTCCGTGCAGGCAACTGCGCGCCTCAGAAAAAGAAAGACAAGGCGCTGGTCGCTGTCCTGCGCTTGCGTGCCTGAGCGAGAGAACATCCGACAAACATAGAACTAAACTTTCGGGGGCCCACTCGGAACCGGATCTCCGAGGATTTGTTGTTGTTCAATCCCTTTTTAATGTTTTCTGAAATTTCGGATCTTGGGCCCGTTTTCGGGTCCCAGGACTATCAAACATGGATACGAGACGAAAAATGACCCCCAGGAAAGCTGCCAGGACCTCTGAGGCAGCAGGTTGAAAAAGTCATCTCGGCGGATGTCGGGGTATTTCTTGTATCGGCACTGGAACGTCGCTGGAGGCGCCGCCAGAGGAGTCCAGCGACGACCCCAGAGATCCTAGCAGGCCTCCGAAAGTTTATTTGTATGCAGATGCTGCGTGAAGCTCGTCGATGAGTTGCAGCACGGTGACCAGGAGAACTCCCCCCTCAGAATGGCCACGTCCTCGCCCGATCGTCGTCGTCCCTCTCCTCCTCCCCTGGCCACTCTCAGGCCTTGGCGGCACGCAATAACAAAATGGCCAACATCGGCCGTGCGCATTGTGGCGGATTTGCAAAAAGAACAGGCCACTTAAAAAATACGCCCCCTGACTGGGACGCGCATTCGGGCACCACGAAATGAGCGACGGACAGACACGGGGCGCACGCACCATGACGCAGCGACCTCACGGGCCTTCCTGGGCGGGCCGCCAGCGGGGCACACCGCGTGGAGAACAGGGACGCCTCCGCGCGACCTCGCACGGGGAACTCACGCAGAACGTGTCCGCGCAGCCAACCCAGTTGCTCTGCGTCGCTCTGGGCACACCGCGTGGAGAACAGGGGCGCCTCCGCGCGACCTCGCGCGAGAAACTCACGCAGAACGTGTCCACGCAGTCGACCCGTCGCCCTGCGTCGCTGCACGGTTTCCCCCGGGGCCGTAGGCGACCCGAGGAGGAGGAGGAGGAGGAGGAGGAGGAGGAGGAGGAGGAGGAGGAGGTGGAGGAGGGGGAGGGGGAGAGGATATGGAGATGGACGAGGAGGATATGGGAGATGGAGAGAGGAGGGAGGAGGAGGAGGAGGAGGTGGAGGAGGGGGAGGAGGAGGAGGAGGAGGGGAGGAGGAGGAGAGGAGGGAGGAGA